CCGGCAAGGCAACCCTCTGACTTTGAACTTTATCTTCTTGTCAGTAGTGCCCTTGGGAGGCGTATGGAGGAATAGGGAAGCCTCCCTGGCCTTGCATTTGGGCCATGAGTTCCCTCATAGCCATGTTCTGGCTAGCAATGTCCCTCATGTTGGCTGCCATGGTGGCCATTTCTCTTGATAGTCGGGCTATCACTCGCATTCCACCTCTTCTATGGCGGTGGTGGAGTCGGTGCCGAGCTGCTGGGGCAGCTGCTGGAGGGGGCACACCTATGTTTTCTCTTACCCTCTTGGGGTGTATCTTCGTTTGAACTCATTTTCTTTGTTTGACCTTCCGATTTTTGTTAAGTTGTGGAGCTTTCTCTTGTTCTTTTTCAAGAACAAATCTTTTTTCAAGGGGGATGTCCAAATGTTCCTCTTCAATAAGCTTTCACCACAAGGTTGTTCGTGTTTATTGTATGGATTCTCACAGATGGCGCCAATCTGTTGACCCCAAAAAATGTTGTCAACAGATGTCGGACCCACCCACGCACACGTGAGCAAAAGTCCAACACGCTAAGACACGTGGACGGTCTAAAACAGACTAATCAAGGGTATGGGAGTAGCTCAACGGTGCGGGACGAGAACGTTCGAAATTTGACGGGATGTTCATAGATCGATTGTACAATAATTACCAATCAATGTTCGCAAATGTGTATCTTAATATGTATGAACTCGTTCGTGTTGCAAGATAATAAGAAAGAGAGAGTTGAGTAAGTATGGTTTCTTGTATTGATTCTTGCATTAGCCTTTGTATGGGGTACATGGGGGAGTATTTATAGTGTCACAAGTTAGATCGTGACCTTTGGTTTTGGGGTACACGTGGCCTCATCCGGTTAATTTACATGTCAAATTATAGGCATCAAGTGCACCTAGCCTGCTATACATTTATTGATTGGCAGAGCCGCCTCTACTAGTGACAAGACTTAACATTTACACTCATGAAAAACGTCCTATCAATCATTTCAAGTAAGATCTTTGTGTAGAGGATCTCTTGGTAGAAGTGTCTATGGAAGATGCTGCTTTGTGATTCGAAGGCTGCTACCTCGACTACAGAGCTTCGGCCAACAGGGCCTCGTCTACCTTCAAAGGGCCTCAGCATATGGGCTTCGCAAGCTCCTCAAGAGGCAATGATAGATGGGCCTCGGTTTGTGTGGACCTCGATTTGTGTGCCACGTGGTTCGACATGAGTTGGCTGTGGGCCCTGGTGGGTTGCCCAAGTATGCAAACACGTAACAATCTCATAGGCTCCTCTCTGTAAGTTAAATAACATCTTATCTTAATTGTATGGTGCTAATGTACCCTAACTTTTACATTCTCCAGGACATTCTCACCAAGGAGATCATTGGGCGTGGCACTAAGAGAGGGGGGCTCTACTATATGGATGATTTTAGTATGGGTCGAGCACATCATATGCAACATTCTCTTGGTACCAAAGAAAAGGAAATATGGCTTTGGCACCATCGATTAGGACATCCATCCTTCACCTACATGAAACACTTGTTCCCGACTTTATTTTCTTAGGTGACATTTTAATTTTCAATGTGAAACTTGCATTTTGGCAAAAAGTCATAGGGTATCTTATCTCTTGAGCTTGAATAAGAAAAGTACTCCTTTTGCATTGATCCACTCCAATGTGTGGGGTCTTTCCCCAGTTACTACTGTATCCGAGTTCAAATGGTTCGCGCTATTTGTTGATAATTATACCTGCATGACTTGGCTCTATTTCCTAAAACATAAAGATGAAGTGTTTGGTGTGTTTAAGGCATTTCATATTATGGTGCAAACACAGTTTTCATCAAAGGTTTAGGTTCTTTTATCAGATAATGGTAGTGAATATATTAATCACCAATTTCGTGAATATTTTCAACAACATGGCATTATTCATGAGACTTCATGCCCCCAGACTCCTCAACAAAACGATGTAGCTGAGCAAAAAAATAAACATGTCCTTGAAACTGCCCGAGCTCTCTTGATTGGTACCCATGTTCCTAATAGGTATTGGGCGAATGCGGTTACTACTATGGTGTATCTCGTAAATTGAATGCCCTCGAAAGTGTTAGGTTTCCAAACACTATTACAAGCCCTCTCTACATATACCACTCTGCCCACAATATTGATGCTTCCACCTCGTGTGTTTGCGTGCGTAGCTTATGTCAATCTCTATAAGAACCAACGAACTAAGCTTGATCCTTGTGCCCGTAGTTGCTTATTTTTGGGCTATGCAGTTTATCAAAAAGGCTGTAGATGCTACTATCCCTCTTCTAATCGCACCTATGTTACCATGGATGTCACCTTTATGGAAAGCGAAACCTTCTTTCCACCCAATTCTCATCTTCAAGGAGAGCTGGACAAGAAGAACCAAATTGGATGAAATTAGATTTGCTAGGCTTATCTGAAGCACATGTAGAATTGATGCAATCAGAATATGTGCCTCTAGCTCCTGAACACCATGAATATTTGCCTCCGATTCCTTTGGCTCCTAAACACTATGAAGCTAATCAAGAAGTTCCTTCGGCTTCTGAACACTATGAAGCTGATCAAGAAACTGCAATTTCTTTCCCCTCTACAGTACCCGAAGGCCCAACTCTTGAGAATGATTCTGAGGTAAACTCCTTTAACACAAATATCATGAAATCTGCTATTGGTTATATATTACCTTATAGGCACAATTGTGGCAAGCCTCCAAGATGTTATTCACCGAACATTGAGGAAATGAGATCAAGATACCCTATTACCAATTATGTCTCCACAAAGGGATTGGCTGAACGTCTCAAGACCTTTATGCATAACATTTCTGTTTGTCATGTCCCAACAAGGGTGGAAAAAGTCTTAGAAGATCCGAAGTGGACTCAAGCAATCAAAGATGAAATGGAAGCATTAGTGAAAAACAAGACATGGAGCCTAGTGCCATTATCAGAAGGAAAGAAAACAGTTGGTTGCAAGTGGGTGTTTTCCATCAAACACAAAGCTGATGGATCTATAGAAAGATACAAGACAAGACTCGTGACAAAAGCTATACTTAGACATATAGTGTAGACTATCAAGAAACTTTCTCTCCCGTAGCCAAATTAAATACTATTATAGTATTGTTATCTATTGCGGCAAACTTAGATTGGCCACTCTACCAGTTTGATGTGGAAAATGTCTTTCTTTATGGTGATCTCAAAGAAGAGGTTTACATGGACATCCCACCATGTTACTCACTGACCATGGAAACTAATGAGGTGTGCAAGTTACAACGAGCCTTATATTAACTAAGGCAGTCGCCGCGGGCATGGTTTGGGCGATTTAGCTTGGTAATGAAGAAGTATGGTTTCCAACAAAGCAATGCAGATCATATTTTATTTCTCAAAAATCGACAGGGTAAGATAATAGCTTTAATTGTCCACGTCGACGATGTGATCATTACAGGAGATGATATTGAAGAAATATCACGACTTCGAAGGCGGTTGGCTAGTGAATTCGAAATGAAAAATCTAGGTGGACTTAAGTATTTTCTAGAAATAGATGTTGCCATATCAAACCAAGGCATCTTTTTGTGCCAAAGAAAATATGTCCTAGATTTATTATGTTAGGTTGGCTTGTTGGAGTGTATAGAATCACAAGCTCGGAATATATCCGGATTAGCAACCAACTGATAAGGAAAGATACCAATGATTGGGAAACTAATTTATATCTCTCATACCCGTCTAAATATTACATATGCCGTGAGTGTAGTAAGTCAATTTATGCATTGTCCAAGTGAGGAATACATGGACGCTGTAATTCAGATACTAAATTATTTGAAGTCATCTCCAGGGAAAGGGCTCATGTTTTCTAAGAATGACCATTTGGGAGTTGAAGGTTATACAGATGCAAACTGGGCTAGGAACATCATGGACCGTAAGTCGACTTCAAGATATTTCACATTTGTTGGTGGAAATCTTGTTACATGGAGAAGTAAAAAACAAAATGTGGTGGCACTCTCTAGTGTAGAAGCAGAATTTTGTGGGGTGGCCAAGGGTCTATGTGAGCTTCTTTGGTTGAAAAACTTGCTAGCTGAGATTGGTTTTGCCCCCAAATCTGAAATGAACCTCTTTTGTGACAATACAGCCGCCATAGATATTGCGCACGATCCAGTTCAGCATGATCGAATGAAGCATGTAGAGGTAGATCGGCACTTCATCAGACATAACCTAGAGACTAAGACAATCCGGTTCCCATTTGTCAAGTTTGAAGACCAACTAGCAGATATACTTACCAAAGCTGTGTCCAAAAAAGATTTCTATAACACACTGGTCCAGTTGCGCGTAACGGATCCATATACATCAACTTGAGGGGAGTGTCAGTGTGAATTGAGGAAAGATTGGAGGAATTATAGAAAATGGGATAGAAAGAAAAAAATTTCCTTACATAGTAGCTTGATTGTAGGAATAAGATTTGTATATACTAGAATAGGAACTCTTCTTCTACCTATAAATTTGTAACACACGGCTGCAAACAATATATAAGAAAATAGATATTATCATTTTCTAACAGAAACAACCTCGAGTTAGAGGCTCATTATCGTATAGCAGGATCTCTATAGGTTTATGTGAGAAACAATGTCTAATCTCTGTTTTTCATTGGCATTAAATCTTTGTATTACTTCAACACAGTTTATTTGGTGCATTTGCTTGGTCTCCTTGTATAATAACTAAAAGTCTAAAAGAAGTCTAATCTTAATATATGCATACTTGTTGACCTTTGTGCTTCACTGGGTATTGCTCACATATTTGATTAGACACTACTTTTTACTTGAAGATCTCCAAGTTGAGAGGTGAACTTTCACCTCTTGGGTTCCCAGATCTGCGACTTCTACACCACTCAAGACTTTTGAATTATGGAAATCAAATTCTATTCACTCTGATGGAGTTTTTGTTCAAATGAGATAATATAATGGATGTGAAAAAGAAACTCAAACCAAAAGATTATGAAAATTTAATTTTGAAGAAAATTTTAGAACTAAAATTTGATCATTGTACGTGAATGTTCTTTAGCCTTCCCTGTATGCATACAGCATTTATTCATCATCTTCGTTCTTCCTCATGGATACTGTTCTTCAAACATCACTTTAAGAGTTCAATATACAAACACAGCAAATTACTATACGGTGTGAGGAACAAGTCTACTAGTCTCCAGACTCGTGGGTATCATCCTGACCCACTTATCAGATTCAGTTTCGCCGTGAGTAATCACCATTGCCAAGCATTCTTTAATTTCCATCACTGCATAAGTCATGGTTGGCCTTTCGATGGCATTGTGAGATACACAAGCCATTGCTAATTCCACAAGCTTCCACACAGAGTCAAGAGAAAAATTGTCTTGTATTCTTGGGTCAAGAAACATCTTAACGTCCCCTTGCGGAAGCATGGAATTCACCCATGGAACTATGTGTGTCGCTTCTTCATTTCCCTTTAATGCTGGACGGCCTGTAATTATCTCCAGAAGGACAACTCCAAAGCTATATACATCACTTTTCTCCGTTAACCTATTTGACGAAGAGTAGCTGCAAGCCAAAGTTTGTTGAAATAAATCACCAATAAACCCTGAAAAGCTAATACTTTCTTGCATTGAATATGTACATATATGACGTAACTGAGGACTCAAAAACTCACTCAGGGTCAAGGTATCCTGGAGTGCCTGCGAGTACTGTTGATATATGGCTACCACCTTCAACAGGGAAAGCTCTTGATAGACCGAAATCAGCTAATTTAGCTTGAAAGTTTTCGTCAAGCAAAATATTAGTCGATTTAATATCTCTGTGAATTATAGGTTGCTTGTTACAACCCACATTTTTATCTAGTCAAAGTCAATAGTGGAATTTTCAAAGTCAAGTCCAATGAGGACTTGTATGAAATAAATCATTTTTATTGGGACTTGATTGACCAAATCATTTTATTTGGGTTTATTTTGCAATTGGCAAAATATGAAGGCTGAATTGGATATATTTAAAAGTTTGGAATTTATATATATACTTTTGGAAGTTTAAGGATTAAAGGTTACTAAAAAGTAAAGTTAAGGGACTTAATTTGCAATTATGGGATTGTGGACAATTAATTCAACCTTTGACCCATTTTTTTCTCATTTTCACACCAAAACACACACACACACACGAAGAGAAGCAGAACCAGCCGAGAAAGAAGAGAAAAAGAGGAAAAGAAAAAGGGAAAAAAGGAAAAGAAAAAGGAAGAAGAAGGGGAAAAAGAAAAGGAAAGGAGGTAAGGTTGATATCTTCAAGTTGGGTTTAATTTTTCCATTTGTCTTAGATGATTAAGTATGGTTTATATTAAAATTTTTAGGGTTTTATCATGTAATAATAAAATGTTAAATTTATGTGATATATGTACGATTTGGAGCTCAAGCTTAGGGATTAATTATGTTTCAATTTTAACAAGGTGTTTAGGCAATGAAAATTTTGGAAACCCTAGAATCCGATTTTGGGGATTTTAATTAATTAATTGTGGAAGTGATTATATAAATGGAATATTTCATTTGGGAGTTGATTTTAAGGAGCAAATGTATATTAGATGGGTGGAAATTATGGTCACTAGTTTCATTACATTGGAAAGAAAAATTAGTTTTAACTTGGGAAGAAGGTTTTGTTGATAAATTAGTTATTAGAAAAGGAATTAGAAAGTGGGATTAGCTCCATTGATCAAAAGAATATTTGGGAATTCATTCGAGCATCGACCAATTTTGGTTAAGTATTATAGAAGTAAATTTTAAAGTTTCTTAATTTAATAGTAGTTGATTAGCCATCTTGTTATGTATTCCAGGTGGTGACGAGGAAGTTGGAAGAGCCTATCGACCAGTTTAGGTTCAGCTTGTGTTATGTGAGTGGATAAATTTAATTATTTTTTTAGAAATAAGTATTTATTTAATTTTGAAGTTACGTATTTTACAAGTTGAGTTGATAGCATGATTTTTTAGAATAAAACGAATTTTATTATCAAATGTTTTTAAAAGTTAAATTCAGTTCAGTTAAATTCTTTCATTGACATATTATTTCAGTATTAATTATTTCAGTATATTCAAAGTTATTTTAAAACCACCAGAAAGTACCCAAGTGATTTTACCCTCGTCTGCACTGGTGTGAATGTGTTTCCACAGTGTATGACTTCATATGGTTATTTTACCCACTCTGCGCTAGTGTGAATGTGTTTCCACAGCGTATGATCAGTATAGTGATTTTACCCGCTCTGCACTATTGTGAATGTGTTTCCATAGTGTATGACCATTTTATAGCTCTGCGCGCGAATTTCAGAATTTCAGAATTTCAGAATTACAGAATTTCAGAATTTAATGACCTTGCTATGTATATCGAGATTAATCGATACACGAGTATGGTTATTCAGGGTACATTTTTGGTGTGATGCTTCAGTATTACATAGCTTATCAGATTTTAGAAATAGATTTTACAGTATTTAGTTGATTCAGTTGAAAGAATGAAGATTTTAATTTAACATATTGTGAAAGGAAATTTTTACTATATACTAGTATTTAGAAAGGTGTTATAAATGATAAAGTATGACCTTTACAAATATCCACTCACTGAGTCGCTAGCTCATATTTTTGTCACCTCATTTCTTATCAGATAGAAGCTGCGTTGAGCCATATCAGAGCCTGTCGTTCGACGAGTTGAGCTTCATCGTGTCCTTGTTTGTATGTCTCATTTTGTTAATCCATACAACATATATTTTGGGGGTTAATGTATTTTGTATCAAAAATGTATTAAGTCTCATACCCATTGCATATTTTGTGTATGTTTTGATATGGTAAATTTCTTTTTCAGTACAATTCCTTGATGAATTAGTATTTTGATGGGCTTGTGTACCCTATTTTAAAGTATGTGTATATGTTTGGGATTTTTGGTTTTATTCTCAGGTGGTTTTAGTCCATTTTTCAGAGGAAACTCTGCCGAAATTTTTATAAAATTATTACAGTCAAAGCATGTCAAGTTTGCCTTGGTGGTGGGTCCGGCATTTAGCTGGTATCTACCATCGGCGCACGACACGTGTCGGATCCATTAGGGTGATCGGGACGGGTCGTGTCATTGCTCGCATCCATGGTGCAGGTAATCTAATCCTGCAGATTTTCGCAAGTGATATTATTTGGAGTTACTCGATTAACATTAGAAATTATGTGAAGAAATAAACATTCATTGGACATAAACCTTGAGCAGCACCGGATGCTATTTGGAGCCTTTCCTCCCAACTTAAAGCATACGAATTACTACCTGCGACCAGCAAAAGATCATTTGGATATGAAGCAACCAATCGAGGAAATATTTTCTCTATTCTAGCTTACGAGAAAAACTGACCTAATCTACCTGAAAGATGCTTTGCCAAATTTCCATTACACATGTATTCGTAGATTATTCCCATGTTGCTGTCCTCGTTACAGTACCCAACAAGAGAAGTTAAGTTTTTGTGATGAATTTTCGTAAGAAGGTTGGCCTGTAAAACATACAATCTATTCAGCTTGCGTGCTAGGATTTTGTTTTACCAATATATTACGTGACATGCTCATGTACACATGGCGGGATAGCGATCAAACCCCTGGCCAAAACCATATTCATCTATTTCTCCCACTCAAATCATATTTCTAGTTTTCTATTTTTAGATAATTGACTTGATCATCGAAGTGCAAATGGTTGCTAGACCTTTTTTTGGGATTGCGAAATTTGCCTCCTAATGTGTCATAGTTTGTAGGTAACGTGTAGGTGGTTGTGGAAGTTGCTGGATCTGTTGACATAGGGATTGCAGATTTTGGGGTTAACAGTTTTTATTATTTCAATGCGCTAGTTAGGTCATGGTGGCAATCCATCAGAAGTTGATGCTTACCTCGGCTCGAAATTCCTTGTAACCTTGGAAAGATGACGGAGAGAGCATCTTCACAGCAACTTGCATGTCACCTACAAAACCATGATAAACTGTGCCAAATCCCCCCTTTCCGATTACTCTCTCGAAGTTATTGGTTATTTGTAGCACCTCGGAGTATGTAAACTCTCTATTCCTTGTCACCAGTACGCTGCCATTTCTGTTGGGGGTAGCATATCCTCTCTGTCTCCCTCTCGCTTGAGACGATAAAAATTGATAAGCATTAATGGACATGGAAAACACCATTTTTTAATCAGTCTTCATTAGGTTTTTCAACAGAGATATTTTAATTTGAAATTGTATATTTCTCCAGTACCTTTCTTTATTCTCTTTTTAACGATCCGAAGGGTAACCAAGACAATTAACAGACCAAATACAGCAGCAAGGACTGATGCTAACACTGGAACTGGAATGAGAATACTATTCATTTTGGCAGATGTTCGAATGGGTGGATCATCAATACTGTACACAACAACAAAATATGCATGACATTATTCCTTTGCAGTAGTTAAATGAATTTTGATATTTTTGTCAATTTCATTTATTTGTCTTTATTTAAACAGAGAGCAAAAATATAGGAGTTTTTTTTCGAAACACTCACATGAGTAACAGTAATCCACTTTTATTCTTCGCCATGAGCTTATCTGAGACTGGCCATGTAAAATTGTTTCCTTTCAAGTTTCTGCATCAGAGAAAAGAATCATGATTGTTTCTTGAGTATATAGGGGAGCCGCAGAATGTCAGTTTCAGGACTCAAAAACTTACAGAACCGTTAGAAAATCAGGTACCCTTCCGATCAAATTGTTGTTTGACAGGTCCCTGAAGTGATAAAGATCTTAAAATCATCAAACAAAAACAAATAATATGCACCTCCATGATCAGCATCAAATTCTTACTTTTCAGATTGACTTACAGAGTTTCAATCCTTTTGAGATTGGACATGGAAGGATCTATTATTCCTTTTAATTGACTTGAAGACAAATTCCTGAGGGAAATTTTGAATTATGTATGTTATTATGCTATAATCACCGATCAGAAATGTGCTAAACACACGTCATAAATATTTGCACATTTATACAAGGATATGATTCTTGGGGAAGTTGAATTGTTATATCTGCACATGAGTCCATCCCATTTAAAATCTTCTGGTTCACATGGATCTCCTTGCCAATTTCTTTTCAATCCATAAGTTGACATGATCTTCAAGATGGCAGTGACTAATATTGCAAAAGAAGAAACACGATCAAAGTCATCAATTAAAGATAAAGTTCCATCAGCAGAGGCATAGAAATTGATAAGGTAGTGAGGACATTTACCATCTGTGTCATCCGTTTCTGATTTCAAGAACACTTTCACTGTATAAAGTTCTATGGCATTCAAGATTGGAGGTTGAGTTGATTTTTCAGATTTTTTTAACTCAAGAGTATAGTTCGAACTAACAGGCACAGGCCATATGCTCCGTTTAGTTAATGCTTGTAGATAAAGTGGAGTCAAGGATTTATTCCAGAACCGATCATTCAGAGCGATGCTAAATTCTCTGGTTTGGTTGGCTGTCAATGGTTGAATCTCAGCAAAATACATGTAGGTATAGAATGAGTCATATGCATTTTCAGGTTTCCAATTAAAGACCAAAGAGTCGTTTGGACTTATTGGTGCCCAGGCAGTGCTCATAACTTCAGATGGTGGCCTGTACCTGCTTGGGGACACAGTCTCTGTAGTATTTATGCACAGACTATTCTGAAAGAAGAAGGGCGTCCAAATGCGATCATAGGGATCATCCCTGTACCTTAACCTGTCAATATTGTTTTCTAGTTACGATTCAATCGAGGAATAAACAGAAATTTTGGCAGTGTAAAAAAAATCACCTTGTCTGTTGCCCATATGTTATTGAGCCACAACGCAATCTTGCATAAAGTTTGAGAGATCCAATTTGAGTAGGAAATAAAGTTTTAGCCAAAGGCCTCAACTCTACCGCTGATATAATAGGTGTTGTAACACCTGTTTTCATCAGGCACACATGAACAAAATCCGACTTAACGATGTGTATAATCTCCTTCGTAATCGAGGTGGAGACACCATCGAAGATTACCGTGTCCCAGAAATTAACTCCAAGGTACAGATCAAATTCCGGTAGCTGACTTTTGTTATCATAATTACCGTACATGAATCGAACCCTTATCAAGTATTTATTACCTTCCCATTTAACAGGCTTTAGGGTGTAGCAGTTCTTAGTTCCTTCAGGGAAGCTTCTGAGAGTCAAGAAGTGCCGATCAAGGTATGTGGTCTTGTATTCAGGCAATATATTCTGGTTAATGCCGCTGTTTATGAATTCTGCATCTGAGGTGTAATATATACCAGTTGTTGCATCGTTATAGTTGGAAACATTCTCTAATCCGCAATCAATGCTTATGTATCCTGCATGAGAGAAGAAGAGGAAGAATAAGAATACGTTCGAGTAATGAATGGAAGTAATACGTGTCGAACATTGAAGTATGAGAAACCTAATGGATGAGTCTGCGTTTGAACCAGAACTGCAACTAGAGCAAAGCCAACGAGAACTTCGACGAGGCAAAATTTCAACATATCCAACACCCTTCTAACGTTTAGCACAACTTCATCCGAACCCATGACAGTTTCACTTTATACATATATCTTGAAGCCCTCTAAATTGAATTTTGGGGGTTTACTTGGGTTTATGGTCCTATAATACTATTAACCTGAAAGTCACACTTTAATAGTCTTTTATGTTTAAATATAAATATTTATTTTGACTGGTAATAATTAAATTTCAAGCAGGCTAAATCTAAGAGCCATCGAAAGTAAGAAGACGATGTTTGATTTTCATATTTGTATTAAAAAACAAATATTCAAAAGAGCATTTTAAGATTAATCCATCCTGAGTCATTAGATGCTAATGTTTACATACTCTAGAAGTTAATTCAAGTTATCCGACATCAAAACTAATCATGTCACGTCACTAGCGGACCCACATGGGGTCATGTGGGTTCAAATAACCTCACAATTTTTTGGAATATTTTTCCCCCCTTGCTTAAAATATAATTTCCTGCCAAAGTAGGGAGTCAACCCGATTAATTTCTCCAATCCAATACCAAAAAAGCCCAAACCCAAATCCTATTGTTGTAACATATAATCTTATTTTCATTAATGAAACGTTGTTCGAAAAAAAATTCATTTTTGACCTCACAGTTCAAACTGTCTAGGTCCTCCCCAGTGTCACGTTTCAACTGTACCCAATAATTCAACTAGCTCCAATCCACAACCAATATATTCATTTTGGTAGCTTTTCAATCTCACCCACAAAGGATAAGATGATGGTGTCGATTTGTAGCCACAAAGGCAAGGAGAAAGCAATGGAAAAAGACACGAAATGAAGGCCAAAACACAAAGTTAATTCACGGGTTTTTGAAAGCAAAGCAGCCAATTTTTTGCACCACAAAGGGAGCCACGTTTTCTCTTCACAAAGGCCATGTTTTTTCCTTCAAGTTTCTCACAAATCATACCACAAAACAGCTAGGGTTAAATCCATATAAGCAGTGTTAGGTTAGGCTTTTAATTGGATCAATAACAAAGCTAATTGGGTCAACATTCAAATCCATCCAAAAGGTAATATAAATGGGTCGGATAGAGCCTTTGGACTTGGTTTTTGGTAATTATTTCACTCGTCGCCCGAGAGCTATGAAATATAATCCCATGTTAACATCATAGCAGGGGATTTGTTGCATATCGAAACCCAACAAAGAACAATTCAATCCCTAAAAGTAAAGTTGTAGATGAAATAAAATGTCAAAAGTTTGTTTATCCTAACCTCTTTAAGTCCAACACAAATTCTAAACCAGAATTTGACAATTAAATTTGAATAGGATTCCACAATAGCATTCCAATTAAAATTCCTCTTGATGTGACTTCAATTAGAACTCTACAATTATTTCAACAAGGAATTTGGGTCACACCCAAATTCTAACAATTGTGTTGGGTGGTATTGGACCCTTCTCACATCAAAAGCTAGCTCCAAAGGTGAAGATTTTCCTCACAATTATAAATTGAATACCAACCCCATTCACAACCAATGTAAAACAACCTCAACAATCTCTTTCTCACACATCGGGCTTTGCGAGAAACCAAACGTTTCTCCCTCCACACATCTGGCTCTGCGGGAGACCAAACCCATCTCCCCCTCACACAACAGGGCCTGTAGGAGACCAAACTCGTCTTCCCTCACACAAATTCGTATCTCTATGACTGTTGGGCCGGACTTGTTGATAAACCAGGCTCTGATACCAGTGTTGGACAGTATTGAGCCTCTCTCACCCCAAAAACTAGTTCCAGAGATGAAACTTTCCCCCACACTTATAAACTGAATATCAATTTCATTCATGATCAATGTGGGACAACCTCAACAGAAAAGTAACAGTAGATCATTTTTATGTAATCCAATACTTCAATCGCAAAATAATAAAAAGGAGAGTCTGTTAAATTTTTATTATCATTAAAAAAGTAAACAAGTAAAATATAAATGTTAATACATCTATTTCGAGTGCCGTGCAAAAGTTGAAATTAAAAATATAGAAATACAATCCTAAGCATAGCTACTTGGTCGTAAAATGAGACATGAGTAAAATAATGCACTAATTCGTGGCAACACAAAAAAGCAACATTGAAGAAATTGCAACACGGAAAACCATTAATTCGTTGATACGTAATAATATAGTGAGTAAAGTGTCGTCTCACAAACAATAAATTTTAAATTGAATTTTATCATTTATATGATTGCATACGTCATACATGTTATTTCTAATATCTATCGTCCGTGTATTAACTTTGCAAAGTTGCGCAAACATTTAAAAATGTAACATAACATACAAGATCTATCAAGAACATAAATAAAGTAAACTACTTGATTTTTGAATTAAAATTAAGTAATAATAAGGTTTATCTTCATTCCAACAAAAAGGAACTCTAACCTAGCATGATTCTAATGTTATTAAAGGAAGAATAATGAAAATATATCATCCAAAATTTATATAAATACAAGAAATACGTGGAAGCAATTTTTTCTTGATCTTCGACTCCAATCCTCGATTCTTCACCTTATTGATATAATTTGTCTTCAATTTCTTATTAGGTTTGATATTCTCTCCCAGAAGATGGTGAATGTCTTTGATGAATTTTGTGATATGAATTGATTAGAGAGGCTAGAGAGAAATCCCTCTAATGTTAGCCCACGTTCTCGACTTACAGTCGTCAAAAATTATGATTAAATCGCATCAAAATTAGCTTTCAAAAGAGTTCGAGTCACGGAAAGAAAGTTATCTGGTCTGGAAGAAATTGGCCCGTGCGCGTGCATGGTTTTCCTCTTTGCTGACATATGGTTAAGAAGACTCAGCCTCGGGTTGCTGAAAAACCCACTTTGCGAGGCATGGGTGTGTTTACTATGAGATTAATTCCAAATTGGTCTCTGAACTTCCACTAGTTCTTATTTTTATTTATTTCTTTTTTTCATGCAATTTCAGCCCTTTCTCTTCTATTCTCATCTAACTGACTCTCCACATTCTTCAATCATCATTATGTGGTCCGAATTAACTTTTTGAATATTTATACTTTGGTTCTTGAACTTTGACATTCCTTCATTTTTCATCGATTTTCGTTACTTTCTTCCAATTTCACATCCAATCATTGATTTTTACCTAACAAACAAAATATATAGCAGATTAAGCCATAATTCATCAAAAGTGCTATCAGATATATTAATTTAACAGTCTAAATAAGTGTATAAATCATACTTATCAGAAGACACATATGTTGTTGATCATAAAAATATATAAGTTCATATGGTACACCATAGTGAGATTCAGAGCCCAAAAGATAAATGATGAATAAGTTGAGATATTAATGAAAGTCATGAATTTTGTTAGTGGGATCATAATGAAATAAGGATACAAAATCATGTGTATCATTACTTGTTTAGCATTCATTCATATAGTTTTGCATTATAGGAATGATAATGTATGTGTTGATTGTTGATTGTTGATTGATGTTAATTTTCTATACCTTTCGTTAAGTTCTAAACTATATTGCTTTATCAAATATTAATAGAATAATATCAAAAGTATGTATTTTTAAAGTTCATTTTAACTAAATTAAGATCAAGGATTTTAAATTCTAAGTACCTCCTTGACAGTTATGCAATTTCGTTAAACTATTTGAAGATCATTTTCCGGACGACATCAGAGCGGTTTGATATATAATTATGTATGTTTTCAAAAATTAGGTGGTGAGTATAAAATCAAAATTTAACGCAGTACAGTTCCGCTGATAAATCATTGGTTTATAAAAATTGACACGTACGTGATTGGCTAGTGCCTAGCTGGGTAGGTGGCACGATACTTGACCGTGTTAGTTTCCTTTTTTTTCATCATTTTTATTTTAGCATCCTTATGTCATACTATGTACTAAAGTAAAGATGATGGACATCACTACAAATCACTCAGCTCGATACGCTGATCTAGTTGGCTTACCTTCCATTTTAATTTTCGTTGTTCAAATCTTTGACATCATATAAAATATAATTATTCAACTTTTTGATAACATGAAAAAATCGAAAGCTATGCCAAGAACCTAAAAGAGCAGGTGCGTAGCCGAACACTACCCCCAAGCCCATTTAAATTTTTTGTCAAAAAAAAAAAAAAATCTTTGGAACTTTTCAAAAAGAATTTTTTTTGTCCCTCCTAGCTCTGTCCCTATAAAGGAGCATGAACATATATTCTCGGAGATGAATAGACACATCTCATTACTTTGATCGGGAGCATTCGTATCGACGGAGGAATCGAAGATCAAGAAGTGAGTTATTTATATGTGAACTTATTGTGAGCGTCTTTAAAATATAATTTATGTGATTCAGAAAGGAAGAACTTATATCAATATCATTTTTTACGTCCCCATGTCCCACTTTGACATTGAATAAGTTAAGACTGCTGATTATTCAGACCTTGTTCATGTTGGGACCGGTGGAAACGAAACGCAAGAATTGAGATTTAATGGACACCAATTTGAAGTATAATACAAGATCGCAAAATACCACGAACAAGTTTAAAGTAAAAGATGAATTAAGCATAGGAACAATGAATTTTATTAATATGGAGAGAGCTACAACTGGACAACAATGATGCTTCCATAAAACTGATAGAGGAGCCTTGTATTTATAGTACACTTGGTCTAGCCCTAAAAAAGTCCCTAAAAGGTAAAAATATAAATTTCAATTAGACTCCTATTTGAGTCACACTTCTAACAATCTCCACCTTGACTCAAATTCCAGTGCAACGAACGAAACTCCTAAATTTCAAATTCTTCTGCAACAAAATGAACTGACCAATCTCCTCAATGCAATAACCAAACTCTCCATCACCAAACCATCGTCCTCTGCACGATGTCCACAAGCGACACCCAAACCCAAAACCCGGGTTCCCGAAATTCCACCAAGGAATTATTGTTGACCAAATAGGGTCGAAGCACACCCTGCAGCAGAAACCATACCACATGCTGGATCAAAAGACCCCTTGCTAGAACTATCGCCTTCAACGTTCCCAAAGGCATCACAGACATTATTGACTCCACTGTACCTACACTCCATGAGTCCCCTAGCACAAGAACAAAATGTATCTGCTAAAGTTGGTGGCAAAACAGAATCACCAACACTCCCATGAGCAAAGTTCAAAACCGACTCAGAGCCAAACACAAGAGGTACTGTACCAAATTAAATTTCCACCACGATACTGAACTTGTCCAAATGTCTCTTCTTAATTGGTTCTGCGCTTCCCTACAAAACGTACAACTAGGATCTCCTCCATCCCTCCAATACGACCCGAACACCTCTCTGAACCTTCAGGACTCCACCTCCACCAGAAAATTTATACCCTTTTGTATCCAGGGTACTGAGTGATATGAGATTCTTTGTCAAATCTGGAATATGGCGAACCTGATCAAGTGTCATCATTGTCCCATCTTGTAGCCTCAATTTGACCCAATCGATTCCTGCAACCTGGCAAGATTGATTGTTTTCCATGACAACTCCTCCTTGCTTCACTGCTTCACCGCTTCATATGTCTGGAATAACGCCCTATTGGGACACATATGATACGAACATGCAGAATTCAGAATCCACTTCCCCATCAGATATAGCCAACATCACATCTCTATCATCAGAAAAATTCTCAACTACATTGGTTTCGTCCGAATTACAAAATCGCCCCGAATGATTTGCATGTAAATTACCTTTATCCTGCAACTTGTCGCAATCTTTCTTGATGTGTCCTTTCTTCTTGCAGTAATAACAATACACATTGTTGTACCTCACTTTCGATCTACCCCTCTGTCGATCACCATGAGTAACAAGAGCATCCCCACCCCTAGATGTAGGATCTCCAACCAACAACTCCATCTTCTCCTTTGAGAACAGGGCATCGTATACCTCCTCAATGGACAACCGTGTCACGACTATACAATATAGTATCACGAAATGACGAAAAAAAATTGGGCAGCAAATACAACAGGATTAAGGCCAAATCCTCTTCATCATACTTTACCTCCAACGTCTCCAAATCTGCAACGATTTCCTTGATCACAGCAAGATGGTCCTGCAGTGATCTTCCTTCCACCATGCAATGGGAATACAACTTCTGCTTTAGAGTCAGTTTGCTCGTCAGACTCTTTGTCATGCACAACTGCTCCAACTTGAGCCACAAAACAGTCGTTGTCTTCTTCTTTAAGACATCCTGCAGTATATAATTGGACAAATGAAGATGAATCCATGATATAGCCTTCCTATCCTTCCGTTGCTTCTCCTCCATAAACCAATTTGCTGGCATCTTCTCAAAACCCAGCAAAGCATCATCAAGTTCAATCTGCGTCAACACAGCTCTCATCTTTACTTGCCATAGCAAAAACCTCCAGCAGGGGAATATCATACTTTATCGAAGCTATCTCTAAAAAATTTCAATTAAATCACGAAGAACTTGCAACTTACAACACCCAAAACTGAAAACTTCCGAACATGCAAAGGGAAAAACAATCCAGAACCACAGTTTCACCCAAAACTAAAATTGGACACCATCACAAAATCCGTCTCGTCGTCTGGAGAAAACTGCCTGAAGACACCGTCGCCAGAAAACACCTCACACGCCGCCACGCGCACTGGCGAATTGTGACCCTTTCTGGACCGTCTCTGCCTGCTGAGTTCACTGGTGGTGTTCGTTTCTCCAAAAGGTAAGTAGTTTCACCGAAAAATGCACAAATAGATCCGGTAGAAAATCGGAAAAACTGGACAGATTCGTTTTCTGATTTTCTGGTAATTTTCAGACCAAATTCCGATCAGTTTCAGGCCAGAAATCCACCAATAACCACGTTTTGATACCACTTGTTGGGATCGGTGGAAACGAAACGCAAGAATTGAAATTTAATTGACACCAATTTGAAGTATAATACAAGATCGCAAAATACCACGAACATAATTAAAGTAAAGATGAATTAAGCAGAAGAATGACGAATTTTATTAATATGGAGAGAATTACAACTGGACAACAATGATGCTTCCATAAAACTGACAGAGGAGCCTTGTATTTATAGTACACTTGGTCTAGTCCTAAAAAAGTTCTAAAAAGGTACAAATATATAATTCAATTAGACTCATATTTGAGTCACACTTCTAACAGTTCGAATTCATGTACTGGTCATTGTAGTTTTCTTTTCTTTTCTAGCATTAGCTATTCGCTCTATTGCTTACATTGATTACTCGGTGATCTGCATTAAGCGGTTCTTTTCTAGAATTTGCATGTTTTTCTGCAGTAATTTCAAGATCATGATCGTATCATTTACAACAATATTAAACTTACTCTGATCATTATACCAAATACAATCATGTAATAGACTATGCTTTTCGGGCAGGCTTCGACTCTGAAGGCTAGATTTTATCTCACTCGATCTTCCACGCATATAGGAAGAGACAGAACTGTGATGCTTTCGCATAGCTTTTTGTCGAGTAATACCAGCTATTGTCGCTGCTGTCACTATGATCACATTGGCTGTTATCTTCCTTATCACTATCTGCTTCTGCTGTACCAGGCTTGAATATGAACATCCCGTGGGCGGAGCCGGGGGCACAGAATAGCCAAGAATGTACGTCCCAAAAGACTTGTATCGGTTGCTTGTCAACTAATACGGTTTGGTTTCCTCTGAATTTCCAATGCAAATTCCGAATGTGTATCAGTACAATCCCGTCTATGCTAATCCACATTTCGGGATCCTTATTCCCTGATGTTGAACTCTCTACAATGATCTCGTGCTCCTTTTGCCTGTCGTCAAACTTTGCTCTTGTGGAGAAACATTTTTTGGCGAAAACGTGTTCTTTTTTAGAAAATAGTGCTGCATCGACAAGGGCAGGTCTGGATTTTGTCCTCTTATAGGCCTTTTTCTTGTAATCCCCTACTAGTAACACAACTTCTTCGTCAGATACTAACGCGACATAGAAATCTTTACTGGGTTCTGGGCTGCCGGAAAATTTTGCTGATCGAAGATCCCAATAGGCGTCCAATTGGTTCCCATCAACCTCGAAAGTCTTGTAACCCTTTTTGGCCCAAAAATGCCAAGGTTTGAAATCAATCTTGCATGTCTGATTGTGATCGCTCTGCATGCTATCGACCGATATGCTTAATGAATTGTTCATCAGGTTCTTGCTCCATAAAACTGTCACATTTCGCCAGAACCCTCCGATATGTGTCTGATAAACGCATGACACAGTGCTATGAGCAGTTTTATCTGTCACGGGATCGTGTTTCGATTTCTGAGGCGGAGGTGGTTGAGAAGAGGAAAACGATTGAGACCTCGTGTGACCACGATGAGCCATTCATGTAATTCTTATCCTCTTCTAAAGAACAAAAACCCGAACGCCCAAGGAACAATCTTGATGAATAAAATTGGTTATCTCTATATGCTTCTTTGTCTGCATGCGTAATATATTCTTACATTGCATCAGAAGAACAGAAAAAATTTTAAACACGGAAATAACGACAAAAAACTAAGCCTTATTCCCAATATATTTGAGTCAGGATGCAAATTTCTCCATCAAGAAGGTAACCTTTTTGAGGATTGATCAAGAAAATCCTAATCATTGAATGAAGGAAAACATGTTTATTATCATAGGGGGAAAAAATCCTCAGATCGTTGTTTGTGTACAAGAAAACAGGAAGAGATTTTGTCGAAAATTTGCTGTTGAAATTATTTGGTGAAAAAAGTTGAAATCAAAATTTTTGTTTGTGGAGGAAAAGAAGACTCTATTTAGAGGCTGCAGGGAAGAGAATCTCCGCGTAATTAATAGGCCTCGAAGGTCCCTTCTATTTTCTTTTGACAGGTAACTAATGATTTTATTAATTATCATATTATTTGTTCAAGTAATGATTTCAAGAATTAATCAAATGGCTAAGATTTTCTAGCTTTTCTCGTTTTAAGAATAAGTAGATTGAAATAAGTAAATTTTTTTTAATTATTATTATTATTTTTTTGGGTGAAAGTGCCATTGCTAAATTAAAAAAGTTGATACACATTGAATTTTTCATTGGGTAATTATATTACGACTACAAATATTAATTACTACATCACATTTTAATCGTACCACAATTAAAATATGCTTTTAATAAATACACAACAATACAATTACAATTATACTCCTAATTCAATAAAAACAAAAAAGTGAAAAGAAAAAAAAAAGTATAATATTGTAGTATACTTATCACCAACATCAATCCTCATCTTCTCAACCTTCCCCCTCATTATTTCACGGCCACTGGAAAGGGAAGATGGAGGAAAAACACCATGCCATATTCATATGAAAAATTCAATGAGGGGCTTCTGCATATGAAAGTGAAGCCATATTTTAATAAATTACTCTTAGAACCTATTTCCCTTGAATGCAATTAGAATTCTACTAGTAAAAATACTTGAGAGCTAGAGATGAGGATAATCATGACCATAGAAATAAACAAGCACAGACAAACCATCAGTAAACCATGAAGCTTTACCCCTTTTTCAGTAGTTTGCATATCTAACTTAGTTTAAAGAACCACCTCAGATTTTTTCTACATTGAGTTACTTTAGTTCTTTAGGGTAACGTTTCACAGTTTAATGAATCTTCCACTTACTTGATGGGTTGACCAAAAAGTTATTCTGAGGATTTACAAGAAGATCAAAAAATAAGAGATTTTATAAATAATTATATGGCATACAGGCATTCCAGCCCCTTTTAATGAAGGGACGTGCTATTTGTTTAAATCAAATACCATGGTCTAATAATCAAACATTCTAATTAGTTGATAATATTAGAAGAGGGACACCCTTTGCTGCTCAAACTACAGCAGCAAATGCTATTCGCTCAACAGTAGATCATGGTTCATATTCTTAGTAAGAAAGAATAATCAAATTTCAATTGAAACCCCCTAATGGTTTTTGCTAGACCAACATATTGCCTTGGATAACAGGTTTTAGGATTGGACACGGTATCAAAGATCTTTTAGATACACATATTCCTTGAGGGAGGGGGGCCCATGAACTATTTTTGTCAATAGATTAGTTTGATCGCCCGAATCCCACAAATGAATTAAAAGTTGAATCTACATTGAATCTCACCTGAATCACCTCATTCATCCTCCTCGTAATGCATGCACGGTAATTCAAAAACCTACGTACACGCAAATTCATAGACCTACAACACAAGCAAATTCATGGACCATTATGACTAGTGCAGCACATATATAGCTCATCAGTATGCTCTCACGTAATGAATGCAAACAAATTCATGGACAATATGATAAGTATATATACGCAAATTCATAAACCCATCTTGTAATTAAATCACCATCTTACATGTTTTCTAATAAACGTGAAACAAATCGTATGTAAATACACGCAATTCATAATAAATTGATACAGAGCATACTAAATAATAGATTGAAGATAATCGTATTAATTTAACAATAAATTAAAGATAATATACTTGCATGCTTTTGATTGTTTCAAATTCATAATAAATCTCTTTGAATTAACAAAAAATTTAGATTTGTAATTTTCAAACTTAACAAATAAACTAAAAAATTCATCAGTAAAATGTGGTCAAATATAATATAAAATTCATTTACCATTAGAAAAAGAAAATTATCTTGACATCGTGGAAGAAAGGAAAAACCGCCAAAAAAGTTAAGAGAAATGAGATGTTGAGGAAAAAGAAATAAAGAAATTAGGTTTTATATTTGTGGTATAACAATAATTTATTCAATTAAAATGTATATTAAATTTCTAATTATGTAATTTTATTGAATGATATTTAAGTAAATAAGAAAATTGTAGTGTACTTAATAAAATTTATAATGGTAATAATACTACCCTTTTTCATTTTACAAAGTCAAACGAGTCGAGTCACGTCAAATGAGGTTATTACCTTCTTTTGTGAAAAAATTATTTACATCTAAATCCGACAAAAATGTATCCGAGTATATGACAATTAAATGAATAACTTGTATTTTATTGTGATTAAGATCTTGTAATCAGAATTAGAAAATAGTAATCATACAAATGTATTTATTTTTAACCAAGAGAACATATTTTTTTTGTAATTAATAATTTCTTATATTAATAAATAAAAGAAGTTAGAATTTTTTAAAAAAAAATTATTTATGTAGATAGTTTTTTTAATTAAATTTTTTTATTAATTTATTTTTTAAAATTTTGAAATTATTTATTTATTTATTTAATTTTTTAGGGAAAGAGATTGTTAATACATTAGTATCGCAATCAAATCAACTGTCAAGAAAGCAGAAGCAATGGCAACGACGCCAATGGTACCGCCAAACCCGGCTTTGGCTGGAAACCCGAATTTCGACGGGGCCGCACCACCAGCTATGGCGGCGCCACAGCCACCGGGAACAGATATGACTGGCATATGCTTCCGGGACCAGCTGTGGCTTAACACTTACCCACTAGATCGGAATTTGGTGTTTGATTACTTTGCTCTTTCTCCGTTCTACGACTACACGTGCAACAACGAGCAGCTCCGACTCCGCTCCATCCACCCCCTCGACCACTCTCAACTCTTGTAAGTAGATAAATATACACAAAAGTTCCCTTGTCAGCTTAACTAATTATCTTCCATGGCTAAATTATAGTTTCACTTAATTGGTAAATTTGAATCATACTATATGGTTCAGTTCGATGCTAAAATGATTGGAACAAAATAGGGGAGCTTTGAAGTGGAGTTGATTTTTATGATATTTTTTAATTTTTTAATTATGGAATTCAAAGAGTTGGTAAATAAAATATTTTGCTTCAACAGATGATTGTGAAATATAAGATTTACATTTTAAATTTTATATTGGGGAAAATATTTACCCCCAATATTTATTCTGGACAAAGATAAGGGATAAGTCAATTATTGTAATTTTGATAAATTTAGTTTTGTTCTATCTTTTGATGAAAAGTTTGACTGATTTGAGTTTAATGAGTTAAAGATGATAAATTTTTGTGGTTTTGGTTTTTCTTTTCATTTGAATTGATATCTGTGTATATAGGAAAATGACAGGCATAGAGTACATGTTGACTGAAGTGACAGAGCCTCATCTGTTTGTGATTCGTAAGCAAAAGAGAGATAGTCCGGAGAAAGTGACCCCTATGCTAACGTATTACGTCTTGGATGGGTCAATTTATCAGGCTCCTCAGCTTTGCAATGTTTTTGCTGCACGAGTTGTAAGTATCCCTTTACTCATCCTTCTCTATTTGCATGAGTGACCATCAAGTTTTATATATCATTTGGTCATCAGTAGGATTGATACTGATCAATGATTTTGTAAGATGTTTACTTGGTTTGTTTTGCATACCCTTTTTCCAATTTTTCAACACGTTGGTTCTCAAATCAAAGTTGATTTTAATTTGGAGAATATGGGAAAAAGGAAACCTAGAATGTTTTATGGAGGCATGCTTCATTAGTGATTATTGCCATTGGCAATATATATATTTTGGTTATAAACTGTACTCATAAAATCTGGCCTAAATCAAATCTCTAAAAAGGATGAGAATATGTTTAACTAATGCCTCTTGCTTAAACTATTTTATTTATCCCCTTTTCTTCTCAATGAATCAGTGGTTGCTTTGTTCCTTCGACCTATGCATAGTAGTAGAACACAGATTCTCTAGGAGTCCTAGGAAGTCTTAAACATCTGTTATTGAGATTATGCGGTCAGTTAGTTCAAAGAAAGGTTTTCCTGCTTTGATGCAAGGCTGTGTAGGAGTAACAGCAATGTTAATCTTTGAAAATCGGAAAGGATTTCAGTGTAAAATCTGAAATTCATTTAGTAGAGGATTAATATTTATTTTAGGTGGCAAAGTCTTCGTACATTGTCTATTGATTACAAGTCAAGTTTTTATATAGTTTCTATCTTACTAACTGAAATGCAGTTGTGGACTTTGGTGGCAAAGCCATTATGCCTTGCTTCCTTATTTTTCCTTAGCTTCTAAGATGAAAAGCAGTTATGGACAGTAAGAGTTAAGCCATATTTCTTTGTATTGAAATTTTTTTGTCGTCATTTGGCAGGGACGAGCTCTATATCACATATCAAAGGCTTTTACTACAGCAGCATCGAAGTTGGAAAAAATTGGATTTGGTAACTCACATGAACCTTTATGCCTTTTATTATGGACCTATGATGAAGGATGAGGCAATGCATTATCGCTACAACACCACGAAGCCCACTGAGATGCTAATAATAGGGGAATAGATAAAATAGTAATTAAATTACATATCATAGTATTTTTCACCTGCTGTCTTAATATAAAGCACTGCTCTTAGATATAGAAAGGGGATTATCTGTTGTTAAAAGGAAAAAAAAAAGAAAAATTAAAAAATCATTACATAAGTGCAGAATTCTACTTTTGCAAAGATCATGGTTTCTTAGTGTCAAATTTTGCATTGAATTGTATATAATATTTAAATGTGGTTCTGCTATATGCCGGGTGGAGCGAGGGAGACAACTCTTTTTGCCCCCCTACTGGACTGACACATAGAAAAGAATTCCAAAGATTTTATTTTTACCTATAAAAAATTAAATGGGCTTGGGAGCAGCCCCTCCCTCCGCCTCTGGCTATATGATTCTATTATTATTGATTGGTGTTCATATTTTTTGTGCTTTCTATAAGTCAACTGCCGCTTGATAATTCCAATGTGTTACATGCCTTAATTTCTATAATGATTGGTTGATGACCATATGAAAGTCGAGTGATTTGTGTTTGAGAGATTTTTGTTCAAGCCAAAGTCATATGATATCACTAAAGCGTTCACTTTCTTTACAGTATCACAAATTCATGGTTCCCAAAATCATCTTTAGCATTACGTTGATCCTTTGTACAACATAATTAGGGGAAAAGGGTGTTGTTTTTCCTTTTGTGCTTGAGCTAAGAGCTGTTAGTTGTTAAGCTTGACACCAATCTTTTCTAAACGGTCTGCCATTAGTTACTGAAGTTTTGTTATGCCACTGTTCAACAAATGCTTTAAGCCTTGTCTAATATCATCTGCTAAAATATTCATGTCACTTGTTTGTTTGATTCTTGCCTATTGGCTATTACCATCCTAAACGTTTATGACTGCTGACATACGATACAATTATGACATAAACCTGTATATATGCTAGCTCATCTGAATTCCTAATGATATAGCTTTCGTAAGTTGTAATTCATTTGCATCCTATTTTTTGAACATGTAGAGAATTATGATTGCTTAGGTATCTTGTTTGTAACTTTTCAGCGAGTTTCTATTTTGCAAAATTTGTATAAAACATCTAGTTTGTTGCACTAACATGGTATAGGAAAACACTTAACCACATGTAATTTTCGTAGTAGATAAAGGCTTCTTTCGATTATCTTCAAGCTGTTTTCCTTTTTGTTTTGTTCTCCAGACTTGATTGGCATAAATTTGTCTCTTATTTCCTTTAGTCAAGTGCATGCTTATTTTAAAGGCACTAGCAGTTCCTCCGATATTTATTTGGACTGTGATTTTAAATGGTATATGGATATAAAGTATGTTATGTCTATGGCTGGCTTCTGGAATGACTGTTGTTTTAAGCACCTACTTCGATAGATTTCATTTCATTACTTTTTAAGCATAATTTGTACCATGGATCATTAAGTTCCATCTTCTCTGATATAGTTGATGCTGAAAACGAGAAGACAGTCCTGGAATCAAAAGCCACCAAGGACGCCATTGACATAAAGGAACTTAAGCGACTGGACCATATTCTAGCATCGCTTCAACGCAAGGTAACTCAAGCATCTGAATAGAAAATCTGTTGTTTACTCTGGATTTTCCAATTCGTTGTCTGGAAGAAATTAATAGAGGAAATTACAATGAGAGGTCACTTTTAGAGAAAGAAAGTAAATGTGTCGACCGCTATTTGTTTTCTAAATCATGTCCACATTTTCAAGCAAAGATTGGCTTTTCTATCTGAGTGCCCACCTTGGCAAAAATAAGTTTTTAAAATAACTCTATTATTAGTCAAGGCTGGAAAGATGTATGTTAATTAGTCTGACTGAGAGGTAAGAGTTACTCTCAAAATAGGTAACGTAACTTCTATACTTAAAAAAAAAAAAGTCCAGACATATTTGATGACAATCTTTTACTTTCTTTAAAGCTCTAGCCAAAATGCTCCTGGTCTTATTCTATTTTTATATTACGTTATTTCTTGAATTTAAAATGATGCTGTTAATCATGCCTGTTTTGAGTTTGATGAGTGGAGAAAGTAGATATGGTTTTGCTTCTGAAAATTATTATATCATACAATGGGCGTCAAGTACTAAGCAATATTCTATTTTGTGCAGCTACCAGCTGCTCCACCACCACCTCCCTTCCCTGAAGGCTATGCCCCTCCAACTGCAGAAGGGGAGAAAAGCTCTGATAATCAGCAAGCAGACACCCAGCCGCCTGTTGATCCCATTATCGACCAAGGCCCATCTAAGAGAAGGAAATTTTGACACGGGAGTCCCTCATTCTCACTTCATTCTTTATCTGTCATTTCTTGAGAGAATCCAGCAGAGTCCAGGGCTAGTCGAAATGGCATGGACTGGGTTACAATATAGCTCAAATTAGCTAGTGTTACAATTTTGTAATATTTCAAAATTTGAAAGTTTGATGGTAATGCTTGTTTCTACGTTGTCACCGATGTACTTTCCCATATTTTCATCAGCTGAATTAGAAAAGATATCGGAGATTATATTGGTCTATAATTGTCTTTAGTCTGTAATGTAGTCCAGCACAAATGTGCCTCTCGGAAAATGTTAGATGTGCTAAAAATAGACAATACATTAGATAAACATTTCATATGCGATGTTGTGGTTGATGCTGCTAGCAAGTATGCCGAGTCAATTTAGCCCGCTAAAGACAATACTAACGTATGGGTTTTTTGAGTCATCAATATGCTCGATCGGATAAGATTGAACAAAGTATAAGACATTAGTATACCAATGTCTTAGGTTCACATGTCACCAAGCAATTTACACTTTACACGTGAGAAGGCTGGGTTGTTAACGTAAACAATCATGTTTGATGTACAACAAGTTTGGCATATGGCAAACTGCCATTTTACAGTTAAAAAATGTTTTTTCCTCCAATTATTTTGTTTTTACAACTATGCAATTGTCAAACATGATGTTTACTTCAAAGTGTACAAATGACAAATCCCTAATATAAATATAAAGAAATGAATTCTTCCACTCACTAATAGCTCAAGCGTCTATTCCTCTCTTTAGATGCATATAGGATAGCTCGATGCAAGTAACCAGAAAACATAACATGACTCAAGTGTTCTTTAACACGAGGTATGACAGAGCTCAGTCTTGAGCAAACTACGCAACTTTTAAAAAATGATTGTATAATTGTCCCAAATAAAGTCCAACCTATCTCGACTTTACAGCTATCTCCATCATACATGCTTCCAAGGAATAGTATAAGTACGCACCCACGAGGATGGCACAATGGTAAAACAGGAGAGTTCTATACGGAGTATCGGATGTTCGAATCCTCGCGATAGCTGGAAGACAACATTTATGTTGAAAGACAGATGTCTTGCGAAAGCTTTTTTGCACGTTGTAAAAGGAGATTTACAGGAAAGAGAATCACATTTAGAATGTTCAGTTTAAGTGTGCATAAATTGTGATTTCATTCGAATTTACTTGGGTGACAAATCAGGAGGAAAGGCCACCACTCCTCAAAATTAGTCAAAGTTTGAACACTTGAGTCACTACAAATAAAAAAAAAAGAATAGTACAACTACAGCTGATCGACACACCAAAATTCCTTCTTTGAACGTGAACGGCGCTCATTCATTCATGTGAAATCCAACGGCCATTAATCATTAGCCACGTCCAGCTGGACCCACCTTTCTGCATGGGTCCCACTCACACCTCACACCGTTTGTATTAATATCCCCCAACATCAGAAACTAAAGTTGGGAGTATTGTCAAAAAACTTCGAAATCCAAAAAATCAATCAAAAAATTTCTGAAAATGTCGTGGCAGACTTACGTGGATGATCATTTGGTGTGTGAAATTGACGGCGTTCATCTCACGGCGGCGGCCATCATCAGCCACAACGGAAGCATTTGGGCTCAGAGCGCCAATTTTCCTCAGGTCCTATTTTTCTCTAATTCCTTTTTTTTTTGTGTGAGCTGAAATTTTATCTGTAGATTAACAGTGTTGATTTTGGCTACTAGTGGTTTATGCATGATATAGGAACTAGCAAAGCTATCTATCTTCATCGGTTGGCGATTGGGCCACGATTCGTTGTCCAATACATTAAAATCCTATTAGATGGATGACGATCTTCACCGGTGATAGATAGCATTATTCTATAGGAATTCGTAAACTATGAATGTGATCGTTATATTTTGTGTAACTGGTTGTGGCTGGAAATTTTGCAAAATAAGAAAAGAAAAAATAGTGGAGCATGTACAAGTAGGAGCAATATTTTTGTTATGATCTAGTGTTGATCAGGGTATACACCAATTGTTATGCATGTAGCTTATATAGAGTGGAACACTGGTCCTGGATCAAATTGGTCGATGCCGGCGTGAAACGGAGCGGAGTGGAGTTGAGAGGAGCTATAAAGTGGATTTTCAGGTACTTGAAAGGTACAATGAAGTGCGGGATCATGTTTGAGAGACAAAATGGTGATATTTCAATTCAAGGATATGTAAATGCAGATTATGCAGGGGATTTGGATGACAGAAGGTCCCATACAGGTTATGTTTTCACACTCGCAAGTAGGCCCATATGTTGGAGATCAATGATACAGTCACTTGTGGCATTATCTACAACTGAAGCAGAGTACATGGCGGCAACTGAGGCAGCCAAGGAATCATTGTGGTTGAAAGGGCTTGTCAGGGAATTTGGATCAAGGAAGATGGAATGATGCTGTACTGTGATAGTCAGAGCGCCATCTTCCTAGCGAAGAATCAGATTTATCATGCAAGAACCAAGCACATTGACTTGAGATTTCATAAGATAAGAGAGTTGATTATTTTAGGAGAGCTGTTGTTAGAGAAGGTGCGTACCTCAAATAATGCAACAGATATGATGACAAGCCAATCACAATAGATAGGTTCAAGCATTGCTTGAACTCGATTAATATCTCTAGATGTTAGAGATGATGTGTCCTAACCCATTGGTCCTAGATGGTGTGGTTTTTCCAGGTTATGTTTTTCTCCTAGGGGGTGAATATTTACTAAGGTGGAGATTGTCGTGCATGTGGCTCATATAGAGTGGAACACAGGTCCTAGATCATCCGCGTTGATATCGGTTTTGTGCAGGTTTAATTCACTGTCTGCTTGTTAGGGACGCTGAATGAGTTGGGTACGGTATAGAGGTATTTCTTGTATGAACCTTAAAGTTTTATATGGACGAAGGCTAGGGTTAGTATAAATAATATGTTTTAATCCTATTTTTCATTATTGAAAAAAAGATATCTTTGCCTCGCTCTCGTGGACATAGACACACCGCCGAACCACGTAAATTCTTGTGTTGAATTTATTTTTCATCTCTTCAATATTACGCATAAAATCCAACACCAATCAATATGCAGTTTAAACCTGAGGAAATTGTTAAAATCACGAAGGATTTTGATGAGCTAGGATTCCTTGCTCTTACTGGGCTGTACCTTGGTGGTACAGTACATGGTGATTAAAGGAGAGCATGGTGTTGTTGTTCGAGGAAAGAAGGTTACTCTCTCTCTCTCTCGTAAAATAAGAATGAGTATGCACATGTGAACATTACTAGTTGGTCACTAGATTTTATTTTATTCTAAACTGGTCAGTGAGAATAAATTTTGTTTCAATAAAAGTTTGAGTTGGTTACTGAACTTAAAGGTTTTATTAAAATTTGGCCAGTCTCTCAGTGTGTGTGAGTAAAGATTTATTTATTTGAATGTTGAATGTACTTTATTGAGATGGATCTGTATTCTAAAATAATAAAGGGGATAATTGAAAATAAATTGAAGAAAAGTTGACTTAGTTGGCCGGGGCATGACTTCATAGATCTCAAAGAGATGCGATCATAGTGAGGTCATGACTGGTTCTGTATACCAAATTAACGCAGATTGGATGTTTCGACAGAGGAAGTTATGGGTTTAATGGAGTGGCCAAAAAATATATTCATGTAGCTGATATCAAATTTATTGAGAATAAAGTTCAATTTTTTTGGCTGTCGTCTTCGTTTAAATTACAACATGGGATTTCTATGCAATATTTCCATCAACTATTAACATAGCACATGATGTGTTTCCCCTTGCTAAATACTTTAAGCCTTAATTTTGTTATTATCCTCTCTGATGCAGGGGTCTGGTGGTGTACCTATAAAGAAAACTGGCCAAGCTCTCATTTTTGGTGTTTATGAGGAACCGATGACCCCGGGACAGTGTAACATGGCGGTCGAGAAGCTTGGAGACTGTTGACACACAAAAGTTTAGCCCAAATCGAATAGTCCAAAGAATGAAACCCAATTGAAGGATCCCCAAATCAGATAGCCCAAAGAACGGTCCAATCAGGCAATGCAGGATAAAGACCTAAATAGGGAAGCCCATGAATGCGGTAATATCGTCCAAGGTTACAAGTCGCCCAAGATTTGAGCGAATGGATTGCCATGCAGTCACCCAGAAATGTGACCCTATTCTCGCACAAACCTTCGAGTCGCCCAGGATCTTAGCAAACATAAGATGTTATGGTTACCCAAAGGTGCGATTAATGAAGCAGTTATTGAGTAGCCCTATCACGTTTCATAATTCAAGGAATTCAATTGAAGACGGTTGAACGACAAAAAGTAATGGCAGCAGTTAGAGAAGGCAGTTCCATGACAAGTTGGCCACTATGAAGAAAGTGGGCAGTTATAGAGCGATCAAGCAGTTTTTAAGCGGTTGATCAGGAAGAGATCATCCTGGGAGTATAAAAGGAAGAAAAGACATAGAGCAAAGGACCCGGAATCAAACACTCTCAAATAGAGAATATATAACTTTCAATTTCTTAGTTTAGATTTAAACACTTCTTTTCAATAACTCGTGTACTTGCGCCCCTTGGAGGCATTCTGTTTTTATTTTTCAATTGTAAAGTCATCGCCAATAAAAACATCCCTTTTTGGAACTTTGTCTCAAGAGATTTGTCCCTTACTCAATCGTCTGATTCCTTTTTAATTGTTAGCGATTAACCCGCGCGAAACAATTTAGCACGCCCAGTGGGACAGTGGTATTGGTGTTGAAGATACAAAATGTGAAACAATATGTCTCAGAGATCTGATAAGGAAGCAGCAAGTTAGGGAGGAGTCCAGTCTGTAATCGAGTGATATGAGGAGCAGCATAGCTCTCCACGAACAGATGGACAGAATCAGAGCAGTAACAGTCGTTACGAATCAATGGCAGAGTTAAGTCCTCGAACTATGCGTGCACTACTTGGAGAACTCACACAGAATGGGAATGCACATTATGACAACATGGCCAAACAACTGAATACTTTGAACGAAATAATGAATAAGTTAGTAGGCCAAATTTGTCAACCAGTTATGTCTCTTGCAAACCACTTTCAAACTAGGACAATTGTGGGACATAATCCTCCAGTCCTAAATCAAAATCAAGGGGTAGAACTACCTTTCGGTCCCTCTACTTCAAACCAGGGGGATGGTGTAGTGCCAAATCATAATAATGGTAGTGGTACGCCTAACTTGGGGGGTAATCCAAATGTAAG